TAATCACTGATCTTCACATTTTTAATGACCCAGACAGACTCTTTTGATTTTTGAGCTTCTTCAACTCAGATTCTAGTGTTTTGCATTTATGGTTCTCTGTTGAATTATTTTGGTTAGATTAATGGTTCTGTGTTGTAAAGAGCAATTCAATTTGAATTTGGTCTTTTTTTTTACCAATGACCCTTCCAATAGGCTTCTTCTAAGGAAAAAAAAATCATGTAATGCAATTTTATATATCTACCACATTTTTGGTGTTTACTGATTGAGAACGTCACTAGAAAGCTACATATAAGAAGGGACTTTTTGTTGGTATTTGATAAAGCCCAATGGAATAAGTCAGTCTCGTATTTGGTATTTGACAAAGGTCTTGTTAGGAAATGACGAGCCATCTCTTATACTGATCTACGTAACAGACTTTGTTCGTGTTTTCTGTTGTGTGTTGAATCAATTGACGTATTTCAGTTGAATTTTTTAATGTGTTAAAAATAGATGGATATTTCAGTTGAATTTAATTGAAATGAATTGATTCAGATTTCAGACTTCATACGTAAAAACAAAAGTCTGACTGATTCAGATTTCAGACGTAAAAACAAAGAGTTTGACTGATTCATATTTCAGACTTCTACACTTTTTAAAAAAACAAACGCCATCTAAATCTAACAGACTAGGAAGATTTTAAAGTAAAAAAATAGAGATAAAAGAGCTTATCATTCCCAAATCATACGTGATTCAAACTCGTCGTACCCAACGATATCGCTTCCCCTCCGCTGCCCATTGTTGTACCTTCTCCATACCGCCTATCGCCGACTTTGGCCACTGCCATCATTTTTTCTTGTTTTACAACAATTTAATGGAGTATGTATAGAAATATAAAAAAGAGGTAAACTAAAAAAAGGATAAATAAAAGAGATCGATGGCATAGGCCAATGACGACGATGGGCTATATAGAGAACGAACGATGATATGTAACGGGGGATGATGTTGTTGGATACGAGATGTTTGAATGAAATAGAATTTGTGAATAGTAAAACTTATTTAGGTTTTATTATTTCCAAAACCTTCATAGTCAGATACAAGTAATTATTTTGTGTTAAAAAATATTGGCAACTAATTTATAAAAAAAATATGATGGTTTATTTAAGAAAAACATGTAAAAACTTGATCATTTAAAATAAATCAATAAAATAGTAAAGTTCACTTTTGGTCCTTAATATTTGTTATTTTCAATGAATATTGTCCCTCAACTTTATTTTTTTGGATTTGTCCCTGACGTTTGTCACTTTCCAACAAATTTAGTCTCTCCTCCTAAAGGTTGTTAACTTTTCCCGTTAAGTGAAATTAAATGAGAAATATTATGGTCATTTTACGTTTTTGATGATTTTCTTTCAAAGCCTTAAATTGAAATATTATATTATTTATATATGGTATATTTCAAATGCAAATATGTTCATTTGTACAATCAATGTAACTCAATCAGTTGAGATATTTATGAAAATGATAAAAGTTCATTTATTATGATTTAAATATTTATGAAAGATAACTATAGTTCGTTTATTATGATCAATATTTTATATTAGGAAACAATCAGAACTTTTATAAAATCATATATTCATCAAATTAAATAGACAGTTGAAATTGAATTATATTGATTTAAATATAAAAGATTGCAGAATAACTCACCTCTATTTATATATATTATATATTTAGTGTCTATATACAAACATATAATAATATATAATATATACAGATCACCAACATCTCAACGGTGTCCCTGCCCCGTCAAGATGCTTTCCCATACACCGGCGGCAACGATTCTAACATACAGCTGGTGAAGCGTTGGAAGAGATTGCAAGACGAGTGGATTCCATGGGTGAGTGTTGATATTACTGTTCCTGGTGTGGAAGGGAAAGTTCCAATGAGGAATCAATGGAAAAGAAAGAATAGATGATGATAATTGATGAAACGACGGTGGATTAATGGAGGAATCAGGGATGATTGGATCTGCCATTGATGCATCTCACAGTTCGAAACCTTCATCTCCTTTCATCTTTGTTCAAATCTCGAGGAAATCTCAATCCAAACCATGATATATCTGGATCTGGTCTCTTCCAATTCTTAATCTAGAATTCTAGAGTTGGTTTTATCTCATTTTCGATCTAGTGGTGTTCCTCTCATTCTCGATTTGGATCAACTTCACTTACCTAGTTTTGAGGATCTGGATTCTGCAGAACTTACTAGTATGGCTCATGGCTGCTAGAGCCGTTGCACACCTCTCAAGCCAGTGAAAGATTACTCAATAATGTTCAGGTTACAGACTCAAGAGATAAGTCCAAAAGCTATCAAAGGATTACAGTGAAGTTGGGGGGAGGGGACCGGGGAAGATGACCGGAGCTAGTTGTCGCCGATGGAAGGTTATGTAAGGGTAGCTGACGAAGGTCGTTTTAGCGTGCTGACCCGCGAAGAGGTTTTGGCTGACGAAGATAGGTCGGTCATATACGTGTGTAGGGAAGAGTTCAAACGAGAACACTATAGTTTTACAGAAATTATAAAACACTTTTGCGCTTACAAACTAATTAACACATAATTAAAAAAATAAATTAGTATTTATTCATAAGTTTCTGTTATCATACATTTATCCTTATTTTCTTAAATTTGGTTATTATTATCGGAGACTTTTTATGTCATGCGTCCGTTGTCGATAATCATGTGATAACACTGTAATAGTATTCTTATTTGCCGTGATAATAATATGATAATGATTAATTAAATTGAATATTTTTTATGATGTGATAATCATCTAATAAGTGTATGATTTTTGTTGTTTTAACGATGTGATAATGTTGTGATAATCTAAAACTATTGATAATCATGTTTACGTTCATCGCTCTCTATGTTCATTATGTCATTTAGCTGTGATAATTATGTGACAGTTATTTGATACCTTTTTACATATTATCTGTATGTGATTTTAGGGATAAAGATGTCACCGAAAGTATAGATAAGTACGAAATCACATGATGATTCATAATTATTAACTTTGTTTTTTTCTTTTAATTTCAATTATGAGTTAAATAATTTGAAGGCCCATAAATGTTCTCGTATTCTCGCAAAACAGAGGTGTTCTCGTTTGAACATCCACATTCGTATGTATAATATATAAACACACACTAAATATACAATATAAATATATAAAAGTAATATTTTATTTAAGTTCTTAAAAGAAAATTAGCAAAAAGATAAATTGTCCATAACACCCCTCATTTAATTAGAACAGTCGTTAGGAGGAGCCATGAAAAACGTTGTTAAGTGACAAACATAGGAAAAAAACTATTAAAAAAAAGTTGAAGGACAATAAACGTAAAAGTAACAAAAGTTAGGGGCCAAAACCGAACTTTACTCTAAATAAAAAGTCTGGGTTCAATTTGGAAGTGATGCCGTACTCTACGGTCTCATAATGAAATAAGCGCCACGTAGGACTTCGTTAGTTGGGTATGTAGGCCCACATGCTATCATGTCCATGTGGCAAATCGACCGTCGGCAACCCCGACAGTTTTTACTCTTCTCTTTCCACGTGGCATTCCCTTTAACATTGTAGGCTTTTTTTGGTATAAATAAAAATAAATATGATTGAAATGTTTAAATTATAGTTTAAAGTAAATAAATATAAAAACCTATTGGATCATTAAATAATGATTAATACATTTATTCACAAATTTGGAAGAAAAAAAAATTAAAAATCATTTATTTTATTAATTTTGCAACACAAAAATAAATAATTTTGAATTGAACTAATTCCAAAGAATATTTTGAGATTATTCCAAAAAAAAACCAAAGAAGTTTTACATTGTTACGATTTTTGATTGTACCCATGACCTATCTACTTAGGGGCATTTATCTGAACGTTTACCCATAACACTCAACACTCTTTCCTGTATTATCGAGTAAAACTTTAGTTAATCAAAACAGCGTCATGTTTAGGGGTCGTTTACCCAAATTCTTAATCGGTAAGCGCTTACTAATAAGAATCAACACTATAATTTATTTAGATGCGTAAGATTTTAGTATATCAAAGTATATCGAATGCAACAATTTACTAGGTAAGCGTTTACCTGGGTAAAAGTCGTCATCTTCACTTACCGGGTAAGACTCTCCATCATTCTCATCGTTCTTACCCGGTAAGATTCTTGTCCCTTCTCATGTTCATCCGATTAGAAAATTTATTCGTTAAGCACTTACAAAGTAAGTGTTTAATAAACAGCCTCTTCGTCAGTAAACCAAATTAGATACCCTCACCAGATAAAATTCTCGAACCTTGTTATTATCCATAATAATAATTTGTGGCACAAAAGTTATAACACAAGTATATTTCTTATAAATTTAAATAAATTTAAAATATTCATAAATAAATGATAATACATGGCCACATATATAATTTGAAAAGCAATATAGAATACTTGTTTTGTTGACTATTATTTTGCCTTCTTTATTCATATTTCTATACAACATATAAATCCATCAAAGACATGTAACAAACTATCCACTAGTTGTTACAAACTCTCACAACATCTTTCTTAAGCCTATGAAGATATACAATTTTACCAAAGGGCTTTTGACCTAACGGTATGTGAGTTTTTGGTCTTTTAAAAAATAAAGGTTCAAATTTCACCAAAAATGAGAAGGATTTGTGTGAGTTATTTGTTTTATTTTCCAAGGTTGTGAAAAAACATGTTAAGCAATAAAAAAATGTATGAAAATGCGACAAGTTTTTTGTTGCTTGATTATGTGTTTAATTTGGTGGGGACATCTGTGTTGACTTCAACACCGCCGCAACAGGGTAAAAGCCGCCAAATCTGCTGATGTCACCACAGCATCCAAGGCATGGTAGATGACATCATCACCACCCCCTCTCCTCTATATATTCCCCTACCCTCTTTTCTCTTTTGCTTACATATTAATTAATTAAAACCATCTTGTCTCCTTTAATTAAAATATCTGTGTTCATGGAAGGTTGCCTGAAAACCGCCGTCGCCGTCGCCGTTGCCGCCACACCCATGACCATCTCCACTGATTCCGCTTACTCACGCTCCCATTCACCACCCTCATCTCAGCTTAGCCCCACCAGCGTTCTAGTCCTTCCGCCGCCGCCACCTCATCCGGTGGTGCTCAGCCCTTGTGCCGCCTGCAAGATTCTGAGACGCCGGTGCATCGAGAAATGCATGTTGGCACCCTACTTCCCACCCAATGACCCCCATAAGTTCACCATTGCACATAGAGTTTTTGGCGCTAGTAACATCATCAAGTTGTTGCAGGTACCATTAATCTATATTCGACTTATATGTAACGTACCAAGTCAACTGTATAAAATATTGTCTGTCTTTTAGATAATTGAAGTTACGGTTTTAAAATACGTCTGATAAAAAAGATTTTTAATTCGTTATAAAATAATCTCCGCTTCTCTCTCCAAACGAACTTGGGATTTTACACTATACATATATAAAACCAACTTTACCTGTGCAATATTTCTTAAATAATATTACATGTAACTGGAAATTCACAAAAAATATTTTTCACAATTTTTGGTAAATTATGTGTCTTCATGAATCGTTCTTCTACTCTTTAAATGTGTGGAAAAGTATCCACCGTTTTCTTTGTCTGTTAAGCCTCACAGCTTCCTAAAGAAAACTGCAATCGCAGTTTATCAACCACTCACAAGACCATTGACGGACAGATCATACCATTCACATCCCATTTTCATTGACCAGAAAATCTACAAAAAATTCAACAAGTATATTTTTTGGGAATTGTTTTTAATCTCTTCATTGGGTTAATAAGTTATACCATAAACGTTTTTTTGGGTAACGGTGAGTTTCTAGGCCAATTTATATGCGTCGATTAATTCCCCAGGCAACCGTAAGTGAACCTCTATAATCAAGGGCTTTAGTAGCGCGTGAATTTGAAATCAGGGAAGTTGAGATTTCCATTACAATTCCTGAACCTTACTAGTACGCTGCAAACTAAACGGTAATACTAAAAACGTTATTGATAAAAAAGTGTGAATTCATCGATAATTAAATACCCAAAAAAAGTTTTTTTGTCCTTCGACTATTCTTTTCCAAAGACCTTTTTCGTTATCAAATGAACATTTGACTTTTTTACGTGTGAGTGTGACTAATTTTTTTTAAATTATTATCGATATTTTTAGTCCAATAAATTTACGAAATTCAAATTATTTATATATATTTGAGCGGGATAAAACTCTAGTTATGAGATACTTATTGTGATATATAAAGTTACTTACACTTTAAGACTCGTTTGATTATGGCATTGATAGTGACATGTATGTGTGTTATAGGAACTTCCAGAGTCTAGTAGAGCTGATGCTGTCAGCAGTATGGTTTATGAAGCCAACGCCAGGCTTAGAGATCCTGTCTACGGGTGTGCAGGCACGATTTGTCATCTACAAAAGCAAATAAGTGAGCTGCAAGGAGAGTTAGCAAAGGCACAAGCAGAGATGGTCAATCTACAATGTCGACAATCCAACATTTTAACACTTATCCGTATGCAAATGGATCAACCACCACTACCGGTCTCACCCCCGCTGCAACAACAACAAACACTTTATGACAACATATGTTTCTTTGACGATAATGCCAATCTTGGCAGTCTTGGACCACTTTGGACTTGAATTCAAGTGTTATTCTCGTTTAAAATTCGTGATGAAAAGAGAGGTGGTATGATAAGAGAGCGACGAGACTTTGCTAACATAGTTTATGAGATATTTATTAAACTTAATTAGAATGTACCTTTCATCCCATAACGGGTCATAAAGAAATGAAAATTACATGTTGTATTTCAACTACAATTAAGTTGATATTTTGAAAATGTTTGAAAAAAATCAGATACATCCATCAAATATCTGTTGTTTGAAACTGTAATAATCAACTGTTTAATATTTAATATATTGTAAAACTAACATTATGTTATAATCTGATGATGCATAAGGGTGATGCCTGATTGGTTCACAGTTTTTAAAAACCACAAGGGTGGTGCGTAATTGGTTTGAGTTTGACTCCAAAGGTCAATAGTGCCTGGAGGTCCCAGATTCAAATCCAAGAAGGAACAAAAATCCCCTTGTGGCCACGGAGTTTAAATGCGATGACTTCGGACTACCTGCCAGGTGGTCGCCCTGGGATTAGTCGGCTCGCATAACGGGTTGGATATCCAGGTTAACAAAAAAAAGTGATGGTGCATAAGTACAAATGTCGATTTTGGTATCATCCAAGATTATAATTTCACATGCCCATATTTAAAATATTTGATAAACTCGTTCATTCGTTCTAACAAACATATGTTTAGATGTTTGTGACTTCCAAAATTGCATATGAATATTAATTTGAAACATGATCACGATAAATCAGTAGAATTTAGAGATCGACATAGGTAAGCATGCTATATAAATAACGCATACGAAATGTCTCGATTATCTTGCGAAGCAATGTTATAAAATCATAAATTAGAAAGATTTTAATTTGCTGAAACTGATTGAAAAACAAAATTTATTTTAAAAAAACGGGGTTAGCTTAGAAGTTAAGGGATGGTGACGTTACTGATAAGAAGTGTACCATATTGTCCTAAATCCAACGTTTTTAATTCCCAATTGGCCTTTTGAATAGTTGTCGAGTGGATGTTTTTTTCTTTGTGTAAAAAAACCGCAAAATAATTGAGGAAAAAAAAAATAGAATCAGAAAACTTAACCTGTTTGTCTCTTTATAATTTTTTTGTACAAAATATATAAAACATCTTACGATAACAAGAAAATAGAAAGATGATGCTAAACATGGTCGATAGCATAAAAATAGTCCAAATATATATTATAATTTCTTAAAACTACTTAGGTTCCGTTTGGTTTGCAAGATTATTTTTTAGGGATTTGGATTTCATGGAGGGATCTGGATTTGGAAATTTTTTGATTAAAATGCATTTGAAATCATTGGTGTGTTTGATTTGTAGGATTTGAAATGGAATTGGATTTCATTATTCGTAAATAATTTATAGAAATAACTAGTTGTGTACCCACGCAATGCGGCGGGAACCATGAATTTTAACGATTTTGAAGTTCCACTGGCTTTATAAGATAAGATTTAACGATGGTATATGTTACACTTGGTCTTTACATATTAATACAATTTGAATAAATAAGAGTTATGGTTCCAATTACAGACTATCGATGGAAAAAATTGTATGACTCCACAAATGTATTCGATTTACACCAAGAGCAAAGAACCAAGAAACTTGAGTTTTAAGATAAACATTTAAAACCAATAAAGAAAACTACAAATTTGGACAGCCTAATCCCAAAATATATAGTATATATATAAATAAATAACTATAAAAGTATAAATCGTAAATATTAAAGATATTTTTTTCATAGTATATAATAATATAATTAAGTAAAAAACTATTCAATATTGGACTCATTACTTCAAATCAAACGGGACAGTAAACTACAAAAGTCTATAGTGAAGCCAACAACTAGTTTTGTATCACAACGATCATATTCCCGTCAAAAAGTCATGGAACTCCGTAGATAGATCGATAGGTTTGTCAAGTGGACTAAGAGTTTTCTCAACTATAAACATTTTCTCGTTAATTTTCAAGAGATTTTTATCAACTTATTGATCTTTATCACAGTGTACTCATTTTAATTATACTAGAAGCATACTCGTGCAATGCAGCGAGATACATCGTGATTTTAATATTTCATTTTATTCTTTATCTCTGTCGATGTTATAATATGGTTTTATGTGATTTTAAAAAAGCGATGATGTTTTTATTTTTGAATAAAATATATGTTTGAAGATATCATAAAA